ACTTAAAGCTTAAGAGGAAATAGAAAGCAACAAACCTCATGCATTTCAGGTTACATTTTACAAAAAAAAAAAAAAAAAAAAAAAAAAAAAAAGTTCTTTTAATTTGTGCTCTCTGGGAGGTGGTGGTACTTGCCTTTAATCCCAGCAGTAGGGAGGCAGAAGCAGGCAGATCCCCCTGAGTTCGAGGCCAGCCTGGTCTACAGAGCTAATTCTAGGACAGTCAAGGCTACACAGAGAAACCCTCTATTGAACCCTACCTTTTTCCCCAAAACAACAACAAGAAAACTGTGCACTCTGATTCCAGTACCACTTTTTGTAGACGGCTGAATAGTCTGTGGAGCACTGCTAGATAAAAATAAAAGGGAGGGGCGGAGGAGGGGCACTGTAAAGCCAGGCGTGATGGGACAACATACCTTTAATCCAGTACTCCGGAGGCGGAGCTGCAGCTAGACCTGCGACAGAGAAACTTTGCCTGGGGGAGGGGACCCAAGAGAGGGGCGGGGTCTGGTTCTGTAAGTGTTCACGGTAAATCTGGATTCCATAGTCAACCAGTCATTAAAACCCAAACGAAGCAAAACAGAACTTTGAGCGTGCCTCTGAGACCGCATGCTTCAGCACTTAGACCGGTGCTGAATTTGGCCACCTCGCTTAGACTTCGCAGACGCCGTTTGTCTCAAGAGTCACAGGCAACAGGTATGTATTCCAATAGGGTTGTAGAGACAATCAAAGAAAGCCTCATCTCCTCAGTGCAACAACAACTGCTGAATAACAGGCTCAAAGAACATGTTTTACATATACACACGTATGTGTGCGCGTGCAAACTTTTTTAGCTTCCGACACGTAGTCCTAAAACCCGTCCTGTGCTTGGGAATCAGGGAGCGCAGCTTGGTGGTGACACCATAACCTGGCTCCGCCCCGCTGCTCCTCGGCGGTGACGGCTGCAGCCAAGTCGGAAGTTGGTCCAGCTGCCTTTGCTGCTCAAGGTAAGAGTCCCGTTCTGTTCAGTTTTCTGTGTCCAGACTCGGGGCAAAGCCTTTAAAAATCGAAGCCAGCTGGGCGACAGCGGTGAGCGCAGGCACCTGCGCAGACGGGGGCAGTCGGGAGGCTGGGTGAGGGCTGCGCTCGCCAGCAGCAGCGTTTCCTTGATCTCCCTAACGATTTGGTTCCTAATATGCCTCGTGACTTTGACTAACGAGCCCTAATCCCAAGAAAAGGGTAGTTGCAAGGACGGACAAGTATGAGAGCCCGGGAAGTATCGACTTTAGTTTGTGCACCATTAAGAAAAGCTGAACAACGGCAGCTTGCTTTTACATTTGAACTCAGTGTCATAATCGCCATGTGAAGGTTACTTTTTTCCTTTTTTTTTTTTTTTTTTTTTTTTGTCAAGATGTCTAAGGTAAAAGGGAAATTTTCAACTAGTATCTGAAATTTTTCCTAACACAGCCAAACTTTAAATTTTCAGCTCAGCCACGTTCTTCCTCCCCTGAACTAAAAAGAAAGAAAGAAACAAAAAAGTAGAATGATTCTATTATCCTTTGCTAACGCAGAGGTGGGATTTTAATCCGTTGGTTTATTGGTAACAAAGCAACAGTTTGTGGAGGCAGACTTTGTTCAGAGGAGAAGTTTTAGTAGCCATTTAGTAGGCAAATGTGTCCTCTTTGTTTCACCTCCCTGTTTATGGAATGTCCGATTCTCTTGAATTTCAATTTACAAAAAGCATTGTAGGCAAGCCTTTTCTGTTGTGACCCATACATCACAGCTGTGGCAGGAGAATGTGATACAAGCTTTTATTAGCTAATAACCACATTTCTAAGAGAGGAGCACTTCAGGTTGGCACAATTAGGCAAACTTCCAGGAAAGAAGGCTATTTTCACTGGAGACCTGAGTAGGTCTCACTAGGTAGCCCTGGCTGGCCTGGAACTCTCTGTGTAGACCAGGCTGGCCTCAGACTCACAGAGATCCACCTGCTTCTGCCTTCTAAATATGATGATTAAAACTGTGTGCCACCATGCCCGGTTAGATGCTTTATTTAATTCTTATGAAAGTCTTTGTATCGCTGGCACTGCCTTTAAGAATGAGGAGACTAAGTGAGAATGTGCATAGATAATTTGCTCTGGGTCACAGCACAGGTCCCTGCCAGATCATATTGGGTAAATGGATTGGTTCAGTGCTGGGGAGATGGATCGGATAGCCTGATGATCAGAGTTCAGCCCCCAGGGTGCACAGGGTGGAAGGGGAGAACTGACTTTTCCGGGTTGTCCTTTGACTTCCACATGCATGCTGAGGCATGTTCACCCTCCCCCCAAATAAAAAAAATGCATTTAAAAATTAAAGGACCACTTGAAACACAGAAATATCAAAGTCTGTACAGTTTAATATGTTGTGTCATAGGGGTTAGTGGTTAAGGGCACTAAAATGAACATTGCAAAATGTAGGTGTCTTAAAACAGAAACAAAAAGTAGAAGTGACAGAGTGTTTGAAAGTAGGAAACAAATCTAATTCCTGTGTGATCAGTTTGATATATTTCTTTTATTTCCATTTATTCTTATTTTTTTTGAGAATTCTCTGTGTATCCCCGGGTGTCCTGAACTTGCTGAGATCCATCTGCCTCTGCCTCTCAGGTGATAGGACTAAAGGTGTGACATCAATTTAACGTATTTCAGAATCGTTATTATATAATTATCTAATGTGTACTTTGTAGTTTTTGTCTTAAACTATAAAATTATCAAACCTGCAAAGAATTTAGCAAGGAACAGAATTAATGCCGGGTGGGTTCTGAGTGAAGGAGAGACAGAGAAACTTCATTTTAGAGCCTGCGGAGCCTGGGTGGCTAGTAAGTGTGGCCCTTTTTGGGGAGCAGAACCCCTCTACCAGTTCTCCAGCACTGGTCATGTGGAAATACGGGTTCAGTGTTCCCCGTGTGGCTGGACTTTCCAGAAGAAGCCACAGAGATACAGCAGATTTCTTTATGAGTTTTCCTTATCTCCAAATATTCGCAATTAATTTGTTTAAGAGCAAATGTTCGTCTTGCACATGCAGCCACTGTGAGTCTATGTGTCCAATGGTTCTGTCATGTCCGGCAAATACTACTGTGATGTGGACAGTCTGCTAACTGTGGCTCTTACAATCTTTGTTAGATTTCAGATCCCAACATCTTTTTTTGGGTGGGGAGGGGTATGTATGATACAGAAGTCCCATTTGGTGCTGGGTAACCCCACAGTCTTTTATTCTCTGCAGACTGGCCTCTGAAAATCACCAGCTCCTGAAAAAAACAAAACAAAACAAAACAAAACAAAACAAAACAAAACAAAACAAAACTTCTCTGATAAGGGTTGAGAGATGCTCTGTTTTATAAGTAAAAAGATAAGAACTCAAGGGGCAATTTATTATACCATATCTATAGCAGAATAATAGTATTTAAGATCAAACTAGCCCAACTCCTAGCATGGATGGGACTTATGAAGTCCCATGGTAGCTCAGAAGCTACTGGCAACTGATGGCTACTAAGGAGGGGGTTTCTTCAGGGATGTGGACCCTGAATATCTATTTACTCTTCTGTAGATGGTCCTACACCCATGCAATTATAGGCAGCACTGAGTGGACTCAGCGGGTTTAAGGACAGCACATGAAATTGGAAAGCAAAAGTGGGGGAGGTAGCGGAAGAATTTCAAGGGAGGAAATAGGGATACGTTACATGCATGTATGAAATTCTCAGTAGAGAAGTGTGGCTTTGGGCTATCCCTGGATTGTTTCCCACCAGTTTACAGCCTTGACTGAGTTCACAGCCTTGACGGCTGGCAGCAGGTTCCCAAGCTGGACTTCTGCACGCTTAGAGATTATTGAAGCTGTCAAAGGGCTTTTGTTTATATGGGTTGTTGTGTCAGTTTGAGTATCTGTTGTACTAGAAATTCAAAGTGAAACTCGGTATGGTGGATTATCCCTATCATCCTAACACTTGGAAGGAAGAGCAGGAGGATTGACTTGAGTTTGAGGCCAGTCTGAGCTACATGGTAAGTTCTAGGCCAGTGTAGGCTACAGAGTGAGACTCTGTCTCAAAAAAAACCCAACCAAACAAATAAATAAATCCCCCCAAAACAGAAACAGTCAAACTGAGTGTCGGAGCAGCCCGTGTTCCTGTGAGACTGTGTGTTTAAAGTTACCTCACTTAGTTTACCTCACTCTGGCCCTAGAGATCACACACACACACATACACACACACACACACACACACATACACACACACACACATACACACATATATTCAGACGGATATGAGTTCGTGTAAGTCTATATGTCTGTCTTAGGGTTTCTATTGCTTCGATAAGATGCCACGACCAAGATGCTAGTTGGGAAGGAAAGTGTTTATTTGGCTTACACTTCCTCAGCACTGTTCATCATTGGAGGAAGTCAGGGCAGGAACCCCAGAGGCAGGAGCTGATGCAGAAGCCATGAAGGAGTGCTGCTTACTGGCTTGTTTCACATGGGTTGCGAGGCTTGCCTTACAGAACCCAGGACCATCAGCTCAGGGATAGGACCACCCACGGTAGGCTGGGCCCGCCCGCACTGAGACAATGTCTTATAGCTGGATCTCATGGAAGAATTTTTTTCAACTGATGACTCTAGCTTGTAGCAACTCTCTATTTCTGTCTGTCTGTCTGTCTGTCTGTCTATATCTGAGAAAGGGCATTAAAGCGACGAAGTGCACTCTGTTTCCTAGTACTTCCTGTTCTAAGGGCGACCACTGTTGAGAACTGTTAGAAGCATGTCATAGAGGCTTTTTTCCTTCTCTTTTTCCTTTTAAGCAACGTACATTTGGTATGCCATGTGGCGTTTTGCTCTGTTTTTTTCTTTTTTTTTTTTTTTTATTGTGCTTTTTTTCTTTCTTTCTTCTTGCTTTTTGTTTGTTTTGAGACAGGGTTTCTCAGTGTTGCCCTGGCTGTCCTGGAACTCACTCTGTAGACCCGCTGACCTCAGACTCAGAGATCTATGTGCCTCTGCCTCCCGAGTGCTGGGATTAAAGGTATGTGCTGCCACCACCACGCTTGTGCTTTTACTTAAATATGTTTTAGGATTTTTCCCAACTCCCCCTGGTAAGTGCTTGTTTCATAGGCGTGTGCTGTCATGCCTGCCTTTTATTTTTTTTTCTAGTTAAATAGTATTCTATAATTTGGGTATAGCACAGTTTACTCTTGTAAGTGTTTAAATTATTTTTAAGTTTTGCTACTATAAATATCCCTGAGTAACTGTATAAATTTTTTTCCCCTATAGGATGAATTTGTAGTAGTGGGTGTTTTGTCAGGTGTTACGATTAATAGGGTACTGTGAAATTTTCTTTGAAAATATTGTGACAATTTGCTCTCTTCTGTGAATAAGTTCTTGGCTATGTGGAGATTTATCAGTCTTTTGCATTTTATTACTTATTTATTTTTTGTATTTTGTTTATTTGAGACTGGGTTCTGGATGTCCCAGAACTCACTTTGTAGACCAGGTTGTCCTTGAACTCAGAGGTCTGCCTGCCTTTGCTCTCAAGTGCTGGGATTAAAGGCCAAGAGTCTTTTGGATTTTAAATGAAATGATAGCACTTAACGTGTTTGTGAGCATGTGTGTGTTTCTGTGTATAAACATAGTGTATGGAGAGTTTTATCTATATTTATATAATATACATGTATATAAACATTTTAAAGGAACTTTTT